GGTGATGCGCGAGCAGCTGGGACACTCGCGACGTCGCGGGCTTCAGCGCGAGCTCGCGAGTTGTGTTCAGCGGGCATGGTCGTGCGCGTGGCAGCATGCGTGCTGTGCATCTGCGAGCGTGCGGCTTGGGCCGCGTGATCGTGAGTATTGGGCAGCACGCGTCCGGGCTCGGCTAAGAACTCGACCGAAAATTGTTCGTTCGAATGGCTCGAAATGACCCGGGATTGACTTTGGAGTACTCGTCTCGACTCTCCTTATCATCCTCGGGAGAAACACCTGAAAATGCAACAATAACACGGACAAGTACGCCAATACACAAAATAAAAGAGAAAATATAAAATCACGCAAAATGCGACAAAATGGACCGGTCGACTCAAAAACGAACCTAGAACCGACTCGATAACACATATAAACACATAAAAATAAGCACAAAAACATAACAAACAGCATTCGAAATCCGCATGCTCCAACTTGAGGGGGGGTGTTATTGTGTATATTTGTGAATTTACTATATTAGCCTTAAGTTCTCTTTAGGTAACTGTAGCCCTAATTTTGTGTATATATACTGATGGTTAATAGAGAGTTGGATCATAACTTGTACTATTTTTTTTTTTTTTTTTTTAGAAAATAATGCATTTTAACATAAATATGTACTTGTACTATGAGATATCCTATTATTATTTATTTTATTTTTAAAGGTGTGATATTTGATTATGAAAATATAAATCTATTAAAAATTTATTATTGTTTAACCATTTATCATACTAAAAGCATATGAGATATATATGAAATTACTTATGCTCACAATAGGCGAGGATACCTACATTTCTCATATAGCTAGGTGGGTTCCCATCTGTTCCTCCCTATTTTCAAAATTGTTGAAGATTTGAATTTTAAATTGAGAAGGTACTTCAATACAAATTAATTTTTCGACCTAACTTATACTAAAAGGTATTTGCGTTTTTCTGGTTCAAATAGCACACTGATGTTGTACCTCTCGGACACGATGTACTTTTGAGATGGTAGGTCCAATTTTTCTAGTTCATGTGTGTCAGTTGACATTTCTATTGTACTCGTTTGAGTTTTTTTAGTGATTAATATATTTATCGTTTCGGAAGAAAAATAATAATAATTTGAATTCAATTATTTTCAGGGACCAAAAATTTCTTGTGGATTTGAAGTGAAGCCTCCTTGAAATGATGCGTCCATAATCAACGTTTCATTATTGCTTACATCGTTTTTAAGTCAATTTTTTGCATGCTCACATGCCATCATATACACACCAAAAGAGCTCAATTTTTTCAACAATGCGATCAAGCTAAATTAGATAGTACCTAATCATTGATGTATCAAAAGTCCAATGAATGTTGAAAAATGTGCATTTATATTATTAAAAATTTTAAAATGTCCTAACATATTTCAGTCTCACGTGAATTAAATACCTACATTTTGTAAGACTTTTGACATTCTCGAATGAATACCTCGATAATTTTAAAAGTCTTGAAAAATTAAATTAAATACGCCAAAATTTATGAAATAATTAAAAATTCTTTAGAAATCTCTTAGACCACAAATGGGAACTAAATATTAGTACATTAATTGGACCACTACATTATAAAACCAACATATATCACATTCATCTGTGCCCATATATGTTGACATCTACCTTAATGTGGGCGGTGGACTTATTGTCCACTCTCTACCATGAGTCTATAACTATAACTATGCTAATATAATTGCAAATGATAAATTAAAAAAAAATAAAAAAAAAATAAAAACTATGAATACATCTGAAATATACTTCTAATTTGAAAATTAGAATTTATAAGAAACAACTTGATGAAGCACAACTCTACATATGGCGCACTATCACGCATATGCATCGTGTTCGTGTACCTATGTAAATTTGGACTCGAAACTCTACTTATTATTAGTACAAAAATAACAATTTTACCATCTAACCTAATAAGGTTAGGTTTGGTGGAATTAGTTGATAGTTAAGTTAGCTTATAATTTATGAGTAATTTTTCGAGCTTATAGCTTATGACTTATAGCTAGAAAACTAGTTTATATGATAAAAGTGTTTGGTAGAATTAGCTAATAAGCTAGCTAAAATAAAAATTTCAATAAGTTTATTTGAAAAACTACCCAAAGAAACTTATCATATAAGCTCGAGCTTTAAAAA